GAAAAGGCAGTATCTTCAATAAATGGTGTTGAGGAAACTTTATATCCACATTCAAAGCGATAAAATGAGATCCTCATCTCAGAATTCAAAATAAATTAGTTACTTAAATGTAAGACTGGAAACTCTAAACTACTATAAACATACAGACTAAAAGGCTCACAACATTGGTCTGGGCAATGACATTTTAAATTTAATCTCAAAATCCCAGAGAATAAAAGAAAAAATGGAAGAGTCAGATTATTTCAAATTAAAAACCTGCTGTACAGAATCTAACATAATCAACATTACAAGACAACTAAACAATGGGAGAAAGTATTTGCAAATTATTGAATGACAAGGGGATAATATATAAAATATGCAAGAAACTCAAATGACTACACAACAAAAAACAAATAACTATGAGCAAAAATCTTAAATATTTTTCAAGAAAAGACATGGCCAAGAGATATATTAAAAAATGCTCAATGTCAATTATTGTCAGAGGAAGGCAACAAAAAATACCTATGAGCTATCAAATCACTCCTGTTACAAAAATTCTTACCAAATGAAAAAGAGCGTTGGTAAAGATGTAAAGAAAATGCCTGCACACTATTGGTTTGAACATAAATGAGGACCGCCATTAAAAAAAAAACGAGAGATTTCTGAAAAAAATTTAAAATCAATCTACCATATAATACAGTAATTGCACTTTTAGATATATATTCACCATAAAATAAGAATGAACAAATACTTGCACTTCTATGTTGTTTGCAGCACTCTTCACAATAGCCCAAATATAGAATTAACTGTTCAACATCTAATACATAAATGAATACAATATGGTATATATACAAAATGGCTTATTTACCTTTTAAAAAATTCTATTATTTTAGATGACATGGATTAATCTGGAAGAGATTAGTTGAATTAAGCTAGTCACAGAAAGACTAGTATCTTATGATTCCACTTACACATGGATTCTAAAAAACTTAATCTCACTGAAGTACAGAGTAAAATAGTGACCACCAGGTGCCAAGGTATTTAGAAGAAAAGGGGGGTTGGAAAAATGTCTATCCAAGAATACATAACTATAGTTGCATAGGAAGAATAAGAGATTTATTGTACAGCATGGTGACTATAGTGCATAATAATGTATTTGTATTTTTGAAAAATACTAAGACAATGCCATGTGGTCCCACCGCAAAAATGTTGATTCTGTGAGTTAATGCATTTATTACATACAACTAAGCATTTGACAATGTATATATACTTCAAAATATCATATTTTAAAGAATACCCTTTTCCTCTATCAAGTTAATATTTTTAAAACTTTATAGAAAGTTAACAATAGTTCAAATATGGTCTCTATTTGTCATAAACTTGCCTGAATAGTACTAACAATATATAGTTTTGTGCTGTTTTGTCATTTGTCAATTATAACCATAGAAACTCTGATAGTTAACATCATGTTCTGGACACAGCACAGTGCCTGGGAGAAGCCAGTGTATTTTAGGGCTTTTACTTTAAGTTTGGGACACCTGGAGTTTCTGGTGATGATGCTAATGGAATTAAAGATAGTAAAAGTGCAGGCATTGCTGGTGGTCCTATGACTGGCCACTCTGTGAACACAGTAAATAAGTTTGCGAGCAAAATAACAGAAAATCTTTTAATTCAAAAACTGGCATAATCTTCACGTTTTCCAGAGAAAATAGCCAAGGAGTTAGCTACAGTTAGGTGACTAAGTATAAAAACTGTATGCTAAACCTCACCCAATGAAAAGATTGTACAAAAGAAGTGAGAAATTCCTTCAAACTGTAATATCAATATCAAAAATTATTCAAATTTAAAATCTACAGAGGTAATTTTATTATTTTGCAAATTTTAACATTCACGCTTAAATACAGAAAATTCTGCATGGAAACATAAGTTGTGCTATATCACAAAACATTAAAAATTCCTTACCATTAACTGTTAAAAATTTAATTTTGAAGATATATTTTATATTTGGCACACTCTGTATAAGAATCTTTTAAAATTTTTCTTCTACAAACAAAGAAAAACAATGTTAAATGATTTAATTCTCTCCCCTGTGGATAATGTATGCCTTTACCTGATGTCAAAGTTATACTGATATGCAAACTCTCCAGTTAAAACCAACTTTTAGTACATTAAAAATACCAACTTTCAGGCCGTGAGCAGTGGCTCACGCCTGTAATCTCAGCACTTTGGAAGGCCAAGGGGCAGATAACCTGCAGCTGGGAGTTTGAGACCAGCCTGACCAACATGGAAAAACCCCATCTCTACTAAACATACAAAATTAGCCGGGTGTGTTGGTACATGCCTGTAATCCCAGCTCCTCCAGAGGCTGAGGCAGGAGAATCACTTAAACCCAAGAGGCAGAGGTTGTGGTGACCCGAGATCACCACTGCACTCCAGCCTGGGCAACAAGAGTGAAACTCCATCTCAAAAAACAAAACAAAACAAAAAACAACTTTCTCATCAAAATCTACAATGTACCATGTGAAATGACATGGCATAAAAATGAAAGTGAGAACACTGTAGCCATAACACAGAAAAAGAAGGTCTGTGATGCATACATAGTTGGAATACACCTAAGACGAAAAAACTGAAGATAATCAGAAAATAAAAGCAGAAGTCATCTTCAAATCAATCAAGTGTCAGCTGTGCAGCCAGGAAAAAAACGTTCTGTCCACATGAAGAATCAATGTTATTTCTTCACCATTGATATTTTCCATCTCTGACTTGAACTTGCAAACTAACTCCAGCAGAAATTACAGAGCATCTGTTACATAAGCACTGTCATTTTTGTTTGCTACACTAATATATCAAAACATCTTTGCCAGGTGTGGTGGCTCACACCTGTAATCCCAGCACTTTGGGAGGCCGAGACTGTCAGATCACCTGAGGCCAGGAGTTCAAGACAAGCCTGGCCAACATGATGAAACTAAACGCAGAAAAATCAGGCAGGTGTCATGGCAGGCACATGTAATCGCAGCTACTGGGAAGGCTGAGACAGGGGAACTTGAACTTGAGAGGTGAAGGTTGCAGTGAGCCAAGATCATCCCACTGCACTCCAGCCTGGGGGACAGAGTGAGACACCGTCTCAAAAAAAAAAAAAAAAAAAAAAAAAAAAAAAACACACCAGCAGACAGAAAAAACAAAAAAAGACAAACCCAAAATTCTCATGACTCATGAAGCCTCCCAAGTAGTTATCTGAATAAACTGACTTACGTCATAAGCCAATAAATTTACTTATGTCAATTTTAAAATGTAAAAGGAACAACTAAATAGAAAGCTTACAGAAGGTTCTCCAATTGAACACAATGCTCTAACTAAAAAAGTATAAGTATACTAATTATGAAATTACATCTAAAAATTACTTCATGTGCCCTACAAAATTTTATGAAAATTACTAACCAGCTCACAATTAATAACATCTTATACTACAAAACAAAAAACAAATTATAAGTAACAGGAAAAATAGTGTGTACAGTAATGAATTAAACAGATTTGCATTCAGCATTCTTGAGGTTTTTAGTTTAGTGAGTTAGACACCTTATTAATTTGTTTTGTTCTAATATTGCTTTTTTTCTGAAAACAGGTAAAACTCATACACACACAAACACACTCTACGATTCTATTACAATTAAGGCGTATCATTAGACTAACGTGTGTATTTAACTTTATGTGAATCAGCACTCAAAGTCTGTATGTTTGTGGGCAGAGTTCACATGTTCAAATAAAAACAAATTTTTAAAAATACTTATTCAGGACTTAGAAATGTATGGATATTATTTATATTTTTCTATGATTTTTATTATGACCACTAAAATAAAAGATACAGCATGAAGTAATTTGTGAGATGAATTGTATCATTACTAATTTCCCCCCCCCAAAAAAACTAAGTTTTTTCATTGAAAATAGTATACTTTGAATGTAATTGTAACTCTCCTGTTTTCTTAAAGTTATTTACAAATAATTTACCTAACATCTTTAGTTTTGGGTAATTTTCTACACTCAACACTCTGATTTAGTGTAATGTTTGGAGGGTCAGTGCCTTAGCTGAAATTTCAACTGTGAAATATCTGATGTTGACATACACCTAATTTTGAAGTAAATGTCTTTTTCATATTTACTGCATCTATCTGTGAAAATATATTTTACTATCAACTCTGGTGTTTTTTTCACTGTCATTTTTTAACAATTCTTCATTCAAAATCATTACATTTATTAGGTTTTTCTCCAATATAAATTCCCTTATGTTGAACAAGGTTTGAGAAACTGTTTCAGGGTTTTCCTCTAATACAAAATCTGTACAATAATGTCTATGACACAAGTAATCATACTACAACCCCCTGTACATTTGTAATGGTTGTCTTCAGAATGAATACTCTTCTTCACTTTAACGGTTTATATTTTCTGAAAGATATTTTGCCAGTAATTACACTTACAATGCTTTTATTGAGTTCTTAGATGTTAAGATATGAGTAGATATCAATGGCTTTTCCACATTCTTTATAATTCTACAGTTTTTTTCTCAAGTATAAATGCTTTCTTGTGCAATAAAATGTGAGCACTAAAAGTTTTGTTACATTCTTCACATATGTAGTTTTCTACAGTATTAAGTATCTTACCTACAATCAAGACTGACAACCATTTAAAGTCTTTGACATATTCTTCACATTTCTGGGGTCTGGGAACATATTTCCAAAAGTTTGAGGTGGGCTGGGTACAGTGGCTCATGCTTGCAATCTCAGGACTTTGGGAAGCCAAGGCAGGTGGATTATGAGGTCAGGAGATAGAGACCATCCTGGCTAACATGGTGAAACCCCATCTCTAAAAAATGCAAAAAATTAGCCGGGCATGGTGGCAGGCGCCTGTAGCCCCAGCTACTCGTGAGGCTGAGGCAGGAGAATGGCATGAACTCGGGAGGCGGAGCTTGCAGTGAGCTGAGAACATGCTACTGCACTCCAGCCTGGGTGACAGAGTGAGACTCCATCAAAAAAAAAAAAAAAAAAAGTTTGACGTGTTGTTAAAAGCATTGTCCCATCTTTTGGGTTCATAGAGTTTTTCTCCAATATAAATTATTTTATGTCTGCTATGAACTGAGGACTCGTAAAAGGCTTTGCCACATTATTCGTGCTAGTAGGGTTTCTCTCCAGTATGAACTGTGTGTAGTAAGTGTTGAGAACCTGTTAAAATCTTCATCACATTTTTCATATTTGTTGGAATTCTCTCCAGTATGAATTACCTTATGTTTAGTAAAGGTTAATAATACATTAAAGGCTTTGCCACACTACCATTAGTAGAGTTTCCATTCACTATGCATTATCTCATGTTTTGTAAGGTTTAAGGACCAGTTAAAAACTTTTCCACATTCATCACAAGTGTAGGATTTCTCTTCAGTGTGAAGTTGCTTATGGTAGTAAGAGTTGAGTACTGGTAAAAAGCTTTCCTACATGCTTCAGTATGAGTTATTTTATGTTTATCAAGGGCTGGCTGAGGATTCACAAAAGCCTTTGCCACATTCTTCAGATTTGTATAGAGTTTCTCTTTAGCATGAATTCTTAAGTAAAGGCTAAGAGTACACCAAAGCCTTTCCTTACTGTTCACATTTGTAGGGTTTCTCTGCAGTATGAATTGCCTTATGTGTAATAAGGATTGAGGACCAGTTAAAGGCTTTGCCACATTCTTCCCATATGTAGGGTTGCTCTCCAGTATGAATTATCTTATGTCTAGTAAGGTTTGAGAAACAGTTAATAAGATTTTCCACATTCTTCACATTTGTAAGCCTTCTCTACAGTATGAAGGCTCTTATGTATACTAAAGTTTGATGGCTGGTTGAAAGCTTTGCCACATTCTTCACATTCGAAGGGTGTATCTCCACTATGAGTTATGTTTAGTAAGGGTTGATGGGTGGTTAAAAGCTTTGCCATATTCTTCACATTTGAAAGGTTTTTATCCACTATGAATTCTCTTATGTGTAGTAAGGGATGAGGAGTCACAAAAGCTTTTGCCATTCTTCACATTTCAAGGGTTTCTCTCCACTATGAATTCTCTTGTGTGTCGCAAGAGATGAGGAGTCACAAAAGCCATTGCCACATTCTTCACTTCTGAAGGGTTTCTCTCCACTATGAATTCTCTTATGTTTGGTAAGGGTTGATGACTGCTTAAAAGCATTCCCACATTCTTCACATTTGTAGGGTTTCTCTTCAGTATGAATTCTCTTATGTTTAGTAAGGGTTGCTAGCTGGTTAAAAGCTTTGCCACATTCTTCACATTTGAAGGGTTTCTCTCCAGTATGAATCCTCTTATGGTTACTAAGGTTTGACAACTGCTTAAAACCTTTTCCACATTCTTCACATTTGTAGGGTTTATCTCCACTATGAATTCTCTTATGTTTACTAAGGGTTGACGGGTGGTTAAAAGCTTTCTCACATTCTCCACATTTGTAGGGTTTCTCCCCACTATGAATTATCTTATGTCTAGTAAGGGTTGATAGGTGGTTAAAAGCTTTGCCACATTCTTCACATTTGTAGGGTTTTTCCCCACTATGAATTCCCTTATGTGTAGTAAGGGATGAGGACTTGCAAAAACCTTTGCCACATTCTTCACATTTGTAGGGTTTTTCTCCACTATGAACTCTCTTATGTGTCGTAAGGGATGAGGAGTCACAAAAACCTTTGCCACATTCTTCACATTTGAAGGGTTTCTCTCCACTATGAATTCTCTTGTGTGTCGCAAGAGATGAGGAGTCACAAAGGCCTTTGCCACATTCTTCACATTTGAAGGGTTTCTCTCCACTATGAATTCTCTTATGTGTCATAAGAGATGAGGAATCACAAAAGCCTTTGCCACATTCTTCACATTTGAACGGTTTCTCTCCACTATGAATTCTCTTATGTTTGATAAGGGTTGATGACTGCTTAAAAGCTTTCCCACATTCTTCACATTTGTAGGGTTTTTCTCCACTATGGATTATCTTATGTTTCCTAAGGGTTGATAGCTGGGTAAAAGCTTTGCCACATGTTTCACATTTGAAGGGCTTCTCTCCAGTATGAATTCTCTTATGGCTATTAAGGTTTGATAACTGCTTGAAAGCTTTTCCACATTCTTCACATTTGTAGGGTTTATCTCCACTATGAATTCTCTTATGTTTACTAAGGGTTGATGGGTGATTAAAAGCCTTGCCACATTCTTCACATTTGTAGGGTTTTTCTCCACTGTGGATTACCTTATGTTTCCTAAGGATTGATGAGCGATTAAAAGCTTTGCCACACTCTTCACATTTGTAGGGTTTTTCCCCACTATGGATTATCTTATGTTTCCCAAGGATTGAGGAGTGATTAAAAGCTTTTCCACATTCTTCACATTTGTAGGGTTTCTCTCCAGTATGAATTCTCTTATGTACAGTAAGTTTATAAAACTGGTTAAAAGCTTTGCAACATTCTTCACATTTGAAGGACTTTGCTCCATTATGAATTCTCTTATGTGTGGTTAGGTTTGAAAACTGGTTAAAAGCTTTGTCACATTCTTCACGTTTGAAGGGTTTCTCTCCACTATGAATCCTCCTATGTTTGGTAAGGGTTGATGACTGCTTAAAAGCTTTCCCACATGCTTCACATTTGTAGGGTTTCTCTCCAGTATGAATTATCTTATGTTTAGTGAGGGTTAATAGCTGCTTAAAAGCTTTGCCACATTCTTCACATTTGAAGGGTTTCTCTCCAGTATGAATTCCCTTATGGTTATTAAGGTTTGACAACTGCTTAAAAGCTTTTCCATATTTGTAAGGTTTATCTCCACTATGAATTCTCTTATGTTTACTAAGAGTTGATGGGTGGTTAAAAGTTTTGCCACATTCTTCACATTTGTAGGGTTTTTCCCCACTATGAATTCCCTCATGTGTAGTAAGGGATGAGGAGTTGCAAAAGCCTTTGCCACATTCTTCACATTTGTAGGATTTTCCTGCACTATGAATTCTCTTATATATAGTAAGGGATGAGGAGTCACAAAGGCCTTTGCCACATTCTTCACATTTGAAGGGTTTCTCTCCACTATGAATTCTCTTATGTTTGGTAAGGGTTGATGACTGCTTAAAAGCTTTCCCACATTCTTCACATTTGTAGGGTTGCTCTTCAGTATGAATTCTCTTATGATTAGTAAGGGTTGATAGCTGGTTAAAAGCTTTGCCACATTCTTCACATTTGAAGGGTTTCTCTCCAGTATGAATTCTCTTATGGTTATTAAGGTTTGATAACTGCTTAAAAGCTTTTCCACATTCTTCACATTTGTAGGGTTTATCTTCACTATGAATTATCTTGTGTTTATGACACGTTGATGGGTGGTTAAAAGCCTTGCCACATTCTTCACATTTGTAGGGTTTTTCTCCACTGTGGATTATCTTATGTTTCCTAAGGATTGAGAAGCGATTAAAAGCTTTGCCACATTCTTCACATTTGTAGGGTTTTTCTCCACTATGGATTATCTTATGTTTCCTAAGGGTTGAGGAGTGATTAAAAGCTTTTCCACATTCTTCACATTTGTAGGGTTTCTCTCCAGTATGAATTCTCTTATGGTTATTAAGGTTTGATAACTGCTTAAAAGCTTTTCCACATTCTTCACATTGGTAGGGTTTATCTCCACTATGAATTCTCTTATGTTTACTAAAGGTTGATGGGTGGTTAAAAGCCTTGCCACATTCTTCACATTTGTATGGTTTCTCTCCAGTATGAATTATCTTATGTGTAGTAAGGTATGAGGACCGGTTAAAGACTTTGCCACATTCTTCACATTTGTAGGAACTCACTCTAGTATGAATTATTTTATGTTGAATTAGATGTAAAAGCATGCAAAATGATTTGTCACATTTGCTACATTTAAAAGGTTTCTTTTTAGGATGTATTGTCTTACATCTATTTGAATTTGAAAATTTATAAACAACTTTTAGAGATTTATAACATAGAAATGTTTTGCTCTGGGTAGCTGTCAAACATTTGTTAAGTTTCTCATAAACTCTTTCGTGCATTTTACAATCATCCATACTTTTACAGTCTTTTCTTAGTGGTAAATTCTCATCTCCACATTTTCCATATCTTCTCAGTATCACTTTTTGAAATGAATTTTTTACGTTCTGCTCTGGCCAAAGGTCTTGGGCAAAATAAGAACACACAACTGAAAAAAAATAAAAATAACAAATTACTCCACTTGCTACACTAAGATTTGTATACTCTATATATCTAAACTATAAAATTATACAAACTACATAAGCAAGATGGCATAGAAAAGGACCACAGACTCTAAATTCCTTCATAGACATGTAAATTCAACAAAAACACACTGAACAAAATAAATTTGTGAAAGATTTATAAATAAGTTACTTGTGTGCAGTATCCTAGGTGAGCACAATGCAGAGTCACATAGAAGGAAAAGCCTGTAACATTTATCCAACAAAGCTCTTCCTGCTCCCCAAACATAATATAGTGCCTTTAGAAGTAAATTGCCAACACCTGGTTTTTTTTTTTAAAAAAAAAAAAAAAAAAACAAAAAACCAGAATAATAGTGATACATACATGTCTATTTCTGGCTTTTCACACACTGGTTTCTGTCTCCCAAGGCATTAAGTACTAAAGGAAGTGGTGGCTAATATGGTTTGGTTCTGCGTCCCCATTTAAACCTCATTTTGAATTGCAGCTCCCATAATTCTCTTGAGTTGTGGGAGAAACCTGGTGGGAGGTAATTGAATTATGGGGCCAGGTATTTCCTATGCAGTTCTTGTGATAGTTAACAAGTCTCACAAAATCTGATAGTTTTTATAAAGGAGAGTTCCTCTGCACATGCCCTTTCTCTGTCTGCTACCATACAAGATGTCACTTTGATTTTCCTTTATTTTCTGCCACGATAGGCCTCCCCGCTTACATGGAACAGTGAGTCCACTAAAGCTTTTTTCTTTTTAAATTACCCAGTCTTCGGTATGTCTTTATTAGCAGCATGAGAACAGACAACTACAGTGGTATTCTTTAGAATGACAGTTTGAGTCTGCTAAGACCAAAGGTAAATGCTACAGCAGTAGACAGACTGCCGTACTACAGAGAGAAAACACATGTAGAAAATGACGACTGGCCATTAAGAAGAAACACTAATAAATGTCTTTAACTAAAAAATGAACACAAAATTTCAGACAAGACACATTCTAAGAACATGTTTGAGAGATTCCCAGAATCTCTAGCTAAAACAATTGGTTTCAGGCTATGCCAGAAAATAAGCTACATCATAAAGACTGTGACAGATAGCTCTTTTAAAATGTCCAAATCTCAAAGAATACAATGCATACAAAATATTACAACATAGCCCCATATAAAAATTATAAAATGTTCAGAAAGCAACCATAAAAAATGAAGATGCATAAATTAATTTCAAATTAAATAATAGTGAGTGAAATAGGAAAACAGACAACTATAAAAAATGGAGCAACAAAAACATTAAAACATCAAAAAATTGTAGAGGTAAAAAGTACAAAAAGAAATAATAACTAAAAATCCTAGAAGAGGCCAGGTGCAGGGGCTCACGCCTGTAATCTCAGCACTTTGGGAGGCTGAGGCAGGCAAATCATGATGTCAGGAGTTCGAGACCAGCCTGACCAACATAGTGAAACCCCATCTCAACTAAAAGTATAAAAATTAGCTAGACATGGTGGTGTGCGCCTGTAATTCCAGCTACATGGGAGGCTGAGACAGGAGAATTGCTTGAACCCAGGAAGCACAGGTTGCAGCGAGCCGAGATCATGCCACTGCACTCCAGCCTAGATGACAGAGCAAGATTTGGTCAAAAAAAATATATATATCCTGGAAGAAAAAAACAATGTAAAAATGTAGAGGCTCAACAAACTAGGATATGCATAAAGATATTTATAACACACATATATATGAACACAATTTCAAAAGTCACAGACAAAAAGAAAATCTTGGGGGCTACAAGAGAAAAGTGATGTGTCATTTACAAGCATCGTCTTATGAGATAAACAGTGAATTTGCCAACAAAAAATTTGCAGGCCAGAAGGGAACTATGTGCTATAGTCTAAGTCCTGAAAAAAATATCTGTCAAGGGAGAATTATACCAACAACAAAACTGTTCTACCAAATAAAAAGAAAAAAACCTTCCAAAATAACCAAATTCTGAGAAAGTATATTGGCACTGCATGTGACCTACATATCAAAGATGATAAAAAGAGTTCCTTTCGCTGTAAATAACATGATGCAAGAAAACAGAACTTAATTATACGAGAACACATCATTCTGGGAAAGATATGCACATACACAAAAATAGAATTCCATAACATTATCATAAAGGTGCAAAAAACATTTTAAATTATTGTTTAAAAATTTAAAGACAAAAGCATAGAAATTTTTATAAACATCTGTTAATGAATGTACAACATAAAGAGAGATAATTAGCAACATAAATAACAAGTGAGAGCAAATGTAATGAGGAGGAATATTTCTTTGCAACTGAAGTTAATTTTTTACCAGATTAAAGTATATTGTTGTATCTTTCAGAGGTTTTATGTAAACCACAAGGTACCACGAAGAAAGTATCTGTATAGATACACAAAAGAAAACAACAAAGTAAAAGCATATTAATACAGAAATTAAAAAGACACAAAGACCAGAAAGACAGGAAATGAGAAACAAAGATACAAGAATCAAATAAAAGAGTAAAATAGCATTAGTCTATTTAATTATACATATATACACACACACACACACACATATAACTTTTCAATCAAGAGACATACTTTCAATAGAGATTTATACAACATATTTTAAAAAGACCCAACTTGCCTTTCTACAAGTCATTTCAGATTTAATGACAAAAAAAAAACCTGAGAGCACCAAATAGAAGTAGATGTCCATAAAAATATTAACAAAATGGTAGAACAGCTCAAAATAATACACAAGCTATATCTTAAGTCAAAAACTCTCATATTTTATAAAATTCACTTGAACTCCAAACTCCGAAGCTACAAAGAAAGATATTAAGTAATAATAGATTCATTCACTGGGAACCTATGACAAATTTTTATGTACATTTGTGTGTGTGTACATCTCACATTAAGGTTCGAAGTATATAAAGCAAATATTGACAAAACTAAAGAATCACAGAGCATATATTAGGATACTTCAATATCCCATATTCTATAATAAAAATGAAACAAGACACATTAGTAAAGAAACAGAGGACTTGAAGGCAGTATAAAACAATTATTCCTAACAGAGGTATAGAGAACACTGCTCAACAGTATCAGGATACACTCATCTCAATATCTCATACAACATTGTCCTTGATAGACCACTTCTTAGGTCAAAAAAGAAGTCCTGACAAAATTTTTAAAACTGAATTTAAAAAAAGTACTATCATCAAAATAGAATGAGAGTATAAAACCATAAAAAAACTGAAAATTTCACAAATATATACAAAATAAACAACAAACTCTTTTAACATGCTGTTGTTGAAAGGCTGAAATAATTAATATTATGAAGATATCCATACTGCTCAATGTAGTCGACAAATTTGATGCAATGCTTTTGGAATTTCACATGGCATTCTTGAAGTAATGCAAATTTCTGTCACCAAAATCATTCAGTAGGTATAATTTGAAAATACTGGAATTTCACTCAGTTTTCAAAAACCAGAAAATACTGTAACTATAAAGATAAATGTTAATGACATTATGCAAAAGAAATGAGCCAGCCTCAAAGAGACAGAGACTGTATAAAATACATAAAGTAGCCACACTCTCAGAAACAGAAAACAGAGTGGTGTTTGAAAAGTGCCAAGAAATTAGAAAAATTCATGTTGTGTAATGTATACTGAGATTTGGCTTTGCAAGATAAAAACATTCTAGCAATATGTAGCATAATAATGTCAATGTAATTAACATGACCAAAATGAATATTTAATAATACTGTATTATAAATTTTGTTATGTGTTTCTGACAAGTAAAAATGAACAATACCTAGAATAGATTCAGATATGTGATAGTTTTAAAATTATCTTCAAATCTAACATTTTCTCCCGGTTAGGAGCAGCAGCTCACATCTATAATCCCAGCACACTGGGAGGCCGAGGTGGCGGATGACGAGGTCAGGAGATCAAGACCATCCTGCCCAACATGGTGAAACCCCATCTCTACTAAAATACAAAGAATTAGCTGGGTGTGGTGGTGCACGCTTGTAGTTCCAGCTACTCTGGAGGCTGAGGCAGTGGAATCGCTTGAACCCAGGAGGCAGAGGTTACCATGAACCAAGATTGCACCACTGAACTCCAGCCTGGTGACAGAGCAAGAGTTCATCTCAAAATAAATAAATAAATAAAAAATAAAAAAGATTTGCTCCTAACAAAAATAATACAGATTCACAGATAGGTGTTGAAATTAGAAAAAGTTTTATGACTACTCACTTAGGGTTAAATAATCATCCACAATAAACCTACACAACAAATATAGTAGTCACAAAAAAGTACAGGGATAACATTTATCCAGGCAAAAAAAGAGATAATTATATTGACAATAGACATATGGCTGATAGGTATTTGATTTTTCCTCCATACTGTCTTCAATTATAAAGAGTTAAATATTGTCATACACAATTATAAACTAATCAAACCACAATTAACTGGTGTGAGGTGGCGTACCCTAAAATATACAACACAAAAATGCAACTGTCAAACAAAATTATAAATGGAATGTAAAACTGATTGGACACCATCAAGTAGATCAATATATTCACAAAAGGAATCTTAGAAGACTATAGGGAAAAAGTAATATAGAGGTTACTTGGAGATAAAAATGTCAAACAACTTCCCAAATTTTGATGCAATAAAAAAAATTCTTAGCACTAATTATTGATTCTAAATTACTTTACTTCAAAAAGAGGATACGAATAAATGCTTTCCAAAATAAAAGGTGAGGGTGTTCATTATTACTACCATAGTCCTACAAAACATGCTACATGGTGGACAAACACAGTAGCTCATGCCTGTAATTCTACAGCTTTAGGTGACCACGGCAGTGAGATCACTTGAGACCAGGAGTTCAAGATCAGACTTAGCAACACAGTGAAACTGCATATAAAAAAAAGAAATGCTAAAATGAGTCAATTTGCTGAAAAATAAAA